GGGAAAGATGATAGATGCTAGTGAAAGAAACAAAAAAAGGAGAATTCCTAAGTGTCAAATCAACCTCGGAAGTAAGAATTATTATGATGATCCATTCTAGTCATGATTATCGAATCCAAATCTACTGTTTCTTCTATCTCTAACAATATTTTACCGTATCATCTAAATTTAATAAATTTAATAGTTTGACTATATAATAAATACTAAATATTAAAACTATTTGAACAATTAAGAGGACGTTTATTTCTTATATTCGTCTTTAATTTTGAATCATGATTTATGATTTTTTATAGTATTTTTTCTCATAAAAAATACACATAAAACGATCATGGTTCTGAATTATAATTCTGAATACATAAACGAAACGTCCTCCAAATGAGTTATAAAAATAGTATCGGATGATGGTTAATGGAACAGGAAAAGAGGACAGCTAGATGGAGTTTGTGGTTCTTGCTTAAGTAACTCCTTTTGAACGCAACTGTTGTATTCCAAATGCTTGATATTTTACAATTTTGAAGTATTTGAATAGTGCTGATTTGTTGGTCCCACACGAGTAACACACTACCCCGCTAATGTAATAGTAATTTTTTTTTATTTTTTATTTTTTTAAAAATGTTTTACATTTGGTATCCTAGATAGTTTTTCTTTTTAGGTGCCAATTTGACCCCAAAAATAGCTCTCAATTGTAATTTATGGAGACGTTTGTTTCCTATATTCGTCATTGATTCTAAATCATGATTCTCTACGGTGTTTTTTCTCACAAAAAAATACATGTAAAACGAGAATGATTCTTAATACATAAACCAAACGTCCTCTAAATCACCTCTCGGTCCAACCGGTCCCACTTGAGAAAACGCAATTCAAAATTTGTTGGTAAAAATTTGTATTTCAGATGTCCTGGCGACTTTGTACATTTAACATGTATCACTATTGCTTTGGCATAGATTTGTCGAACTATAATAATTGAAACTACTGTTGTTATATTAATTGATGTCGACGCAGAGGGAGGGGATCAGAAAGAGGATATATATGACAAAGGCCATTTGGGGGAGTAACGAATGGCGTTAGAGAGAGAAAGAGAGGAGAGAGAGAGCGATGAGAACACTGAGACTGAGATGGACATTTGGACACTATAAATGGGGGCACGAAGACAAAAAAGACCAGCTCTAGTAGGGTTGTAACAAAAATAGCTTTGCCTTGGTTCTTTTCAAAATCATCATCACTTTCCCTTTGTCTTTCACACGTACGTAAATATTGCACACACACACACGGCCCGTTGATGATACACAGGACCGCCACTACTACTGCTCAACTTAAGGGGGATAAATATAGAGTATTCGGACTAGTCAAAGACTTGAAATTTTTTTTTTTTTTTTTTTTTTTTTTTTTTTTTTTTTACAGTCCTGTAACATGGTTCGAACGTGTGTGTAATAAATATTCTATTTGTTTATATAACATCCTATAAATGTAACAAACGAACGATGTACACGTGTGTGTATATATATATATATATATGAAAAATGTTATATTTATCGACTGTACAACTGCTGAATTTAAGAGATTATCATAAATACATTTGAATTTTTTTTTTTTTGGGATGAAATTGAAACTGATGAATAAGTTGATGGACAAAGGATAAATGGGTGATGGGAAAGAGCTTCGTCCTAATGCACGATACCTGTTGGTGGGTTAGGTAGCAAACCCTGTCCCTCTTCCTAATTGGACCCATCCCCCCTAGATTCCTGCCCTTTCTCTCTCTTAATTCTCTCTCTCTCCTCTTCTTCTCTTGTTCCAAATACAATCCCCTTAATTTGGACTTCCTTTTCTTTTTTGAGAGTTGCAATTTGCTTGGCCCCCTTTGGGACTTCAAGAGTACAAGCATACATAGAGCCAACTCATTTCTCTTTTTTCTCAAGTAAACACCTTCAATGGTACCACTCATCTAGTCATCATCTTGTTAGCTTTTTTTTTTTTTTTTCTTTTTCTTTTTTTCTTCTCTAAGGAACCCCAATTTTCTATAGTCAGCATAGGTGATTTAATTCTCTAGAGAGATACTCATGTATACCCTATATTTCCTATCTTGGTGTACTATATAGCTTTTGGTTTTGAAGTTTTGATTATGAATCATGATAATATACAAATAGATATTTCTTTCTTCTTGAAAGTCGCCCCACTTCACATTAAAGAATAATAAAATACGAAACCCCCCATTTTCTCTCGTTTATTTAACAATTGAATCAAGCTTTCCACCAAAATAAAATAATAATAAACAATAAAATAAAACAAATTAAAAAAAAAAGAAATTATGAATCAAGCTCCTGAAAAGCGCTTGCTTCTCCTCCTGAAATTAATAAATAATATTAAAGACAACTGTCTGTGTTCAGAGCAACACCACTGTTTGTCTGATCTTTAATAGGATTTGTAAATGACTGTGGAATGTGGATTACATTAATATCATATTTCATACTTGCATGCATCCTCTAAAGCATATAAGTTGTGCAAATTTTAAAATCACTTATTGGTTCAATATCTTTCTCATATAAAATGTAACTAAAAAATTGTTTGTTTTTATTGTAATTAATATTGTTAGTTAACTCATCTTTTCCTTCAAACACATAACGTAACGTCACTGTTATATCAAGTCCCCAAACATAGACGAGAACATAGTTTTTTTTAAATTTTTTTTTATTACTATAAAATTTTTATTCACGGCAAGAAAAGACCTAAAAAAAAATGCACAAGATAAGGTTTCAATTAATCATTCCTTTTTCCTCTTTCGGAAACAGCAGATAAAAAAAAAAAATTTCAGATACAACGTAAATGAATAATTACCTAAAATCCTTTTCCAATGAACAGAAGTAGTCCCATATATATAACCACACATCTCACTCGCTTGATCTCCTAAACCCTTTTACATACATATAAAAATAAATAAATAAATAAATAAAAAATGTATATTATTACAATCTTATAAATTTATTTAACTCCTAGAAGCTGGTAAAGTGTGTGTGTGTATATATATAAGCCCTATTCGGTTTAGCCAATTTTGTCACCTCCTTCAACTACTTGAAGGAAAATATATATATATATATATATCACTCTCCTTTTAATTTTTACCAATAGGGTTTCCTTTTTTTTACATATGTATATATTAATATAAGTCCTTCCTTTCTCTTCCCTTTCTCTCCAAAACTATCTATTATTCCGCTCTGAGTCTGACCACTTCTCTTCTTCTCTGATCTGCCACCTTCTTCTCTATTAGCCAGTAGTACTACTGGTGTTCCCACATGTCACCAAGATTAGTACTATACCGAGCTAGTCTTGATCGTTTATTAGCTTCTTTTTCATATTAAATTAGCCTATACGATCATGAGCACCGGCAATGGAATGGCGTTCTTCCCAACAAACTTCATGCTTCAAACCCCTAACGACCAAGAAGATCATCACCACCATAATCCCCATCACCACCATCACCACCACCACCACCCTCCGACCAATTCGCTCAATCCAATCCTTCCACCATGCCCACCTCAAGATTTTCATGGTAAATTTATGCCCCGTTCTTTTCACAGTTCCAATTACAATTCAACATTTTAATTTGCCACCGTGTTTTCTCTCGCAAGAATTTGAATTTCAGTTCAGCTTTTACACTATGTATGCGATCAAATCATGCATGTGGTTTTTGGTGTATGATATGGAATTTGAATTTCTGATATATGCAGGTGTGGCGTCGTTTTTAGGGAAGAGAACGTCGGTGTCGTTTTCGGGGATGGAGATGGGGGAGGAGGGGAATGGGGGAGAGGATGAGTTGTCGGACGATGGGTCGCAGGCGGGGGAGAAGAAGAGGCGGCTGAACATGGAGCAAGTGAAGACGCTTGAGAAGAACTTTGAGTTGGGAAACAAGCTTGAGCCTGAGAGGAAAATGCAGTTGGCAAGGGCCCTTGGTCTTCAGCCTAGACAGATTGCCATTTGGTTTCAGAACAGGAGAGCTCGCTGGAAAACCAAACAGTTGGAGAAGGATTATGATCTCCTCAAACGACAGTTTGAGGCCATCAAATCCGACAATGATGCTCTTCAAGCTCAGAACCAAAAACTCCAAGCCGAGGTAATTAATTAATTGAGGCTTTTTTTTTCTTTCTTTTTGAATGATTGGGAATTAAGAACTATATATACTTAAACAATTGGTTTTTTTTTTTTTTTTTTTTTTTTTCCTTCTTTTACATTGGGGCTATGTAATAGTTTTATGATATATAATGGGTAGGTCTTAGCCATTCTACTCATAACCTATCAAAAGAATCAAAGTCTTTCAAACTAATTAATTAACCTTTAAGAATGACTAATTAAGCATGCTTTTCTTGAACCTTTTTTTTTTTTTTTTGGCTTATATATCATGATTTTCAGAAGTACCCTTTTATTGTTTTCTGTTTTGTGAGCCCCTTTTGAACCGCAATTCCCTCCAAGATTAGAAATCCGGAATCCCAGTTCTCTTTTTTCTGATAATAGTTAGGTGCGCAACTTTTTTGATTGATTGATTGATCCTAGTTTGTGAACGGGCTATAAAGGCTAGAATCATTATAATGATTTCAAAATGAGTAGTACTATGCATATATAGATCTCTTTCTTGCACAATAATCTTATAAGTAATTATTATTTTAAACTAATTTTTTTTTTTTGGGATATTTTATATTGAACAACATTATTACATGTCCTGATGATGATCAGATATTGGCACTGAAAAATAGAGAGCCAACGGAGTCCATAAATCTCAACATTAAAGAAACAGAAGGGTCGTGCAGTAACAGAAGCGAAAACAGCTCTGATATTAAGTTGGACATCTCTAGAACGCCAGCCATAGACAGCCCTAGTCTTAATTCCAATCATCCAATCACAAGCAGACCTCTCTTTCCAACCTCCAACATGAGGCCTAATTCCGGTGTGGCACAGCTCTTCCAAAACTCATCATCATCAGCAAGATCATCAGATCAACAACAGCTACAATACCAGAAGCTTAATACTAGTAGTACCACTGTTGATCATCAGCACCACCACCATCACGTGGTTAAAGAGGAGAGCAGCCTAAGCAACATGTTCTGCGCCATAGATGATCAGTCCGGGTTTTGGCCATGGTTGGAACAGCAACATTTCAATTGATCACGAGCAAAATTTCACGCCCCAATTTATCAAATTGGGGTCGTATTTTATGTTATGAATTATGATCATACCGAAAAATTGGCCTGCGAGGGTGCAATTTGATATTTGTAATTAAAATTAAGAAGGATATCGAATGTCCTTTGCATGGTTTTGGTGCTTGGGGAATTAAGGGAAGGGTACTACTCATGTCGTTGTATAAAGTTGATTATATTATACATGATCATCAAGTACTACTTGAGTTTTTCCACTTTGGGGGGCTGATCATAATTAAATCTTTTATGGAGGCGAGAATAATAAAAAGGGTTTTTGTTGCGTCTTTTGAATTTATTTACATGTTATACCATGTTATTTTCATTTTTATTTTGTCGTTCTAGAGTTTAGAATAGGAAGGGGGTTTTTGTTTAATGGTTTTTGGACCACCTTAAACAATTAGTCGTTGCGTTTTCTTCCTTCTCTTTTTTCTTGCTCTGAAATGATGTCTTTTTGTAGTATTATTGAAGAAGATGTAGTTTGTAGGAAAGGAGGTCCTTGAAATGATTATTTTGCTGATTCATCGGAGCAACACTAATGGTGAACAAAATCTACCAAGGTCTAGAGAGAGAGAGAGAGAGAGAGAGAGAGAGAGAGAGGTAGATCGGTGAATGGGGGGGTATGGTATCGAGCACACATTCCAAGAGGGCAAAAACGACAAGCAGATGGAAGAGTAGAAGAAAACAAAGAGAGTTGGAAATGGTCATACTCGTGAATGGGACGTTTGGCAGAGTTTTTTTATTTATTTATTTTATATATATATATATATATATATTTTTTTTCCCATGTGGTGACAAAGGAAAGGAATGGGTAACAAAAGCCCATGTGTTCCCTGGTCCGACACACACTTAACACTAGACTAATTTCTTGGCTATATATATGTGATCACCAGAATCTACACTGTTTACATGCACACTGTTAATTTTTGTGCATAGGAGAGTTTCATGTGAACAAAACCCACTGTCACCCAATTCCTAGCTTTACATGTACATATATATATATATATATATATATATATATATCCCACAAACCCTTTAATTTTCGCCATGAACAATCAATTTGCTTTTCAAAAGTACAAGTCCACTACTTTCATTTCGTGCACTGTCTTTCTGATATAACCTCCAATCTCTTCCATTAGTATATTGTTGATTTTGGGAGCGACGTAGAGAAGCTATCCATATACATGTGAAATTATGTCTATTATTATCTGCTTAATTAGGTAATTTAGGTTAAGCTATCAAACTTCAACCTGCATTTGCCTGCATGCAGTTAAGTTAGTTCTTATAATTTTTTATCTAGCTACTTGGAGGAATAATATCTTTTATATATGGAAGTATATATATTCAACCAAATTCCCTCGAAAAAAATTGAAGCAAACTTTTCAATGTTGGAACTTTTTTTTTTTTGCCCCCTTTCTAAGTACCCTTTTTTTTCCCTCAAAAGAAAAAATAAAAAAATAAAAAAATCAACTCAGATAAATGTAAGTCTGCCGTTACACCAAAATGGCATTGTTTGAGAAAACAACTAGCTAGCTAGCTACTGAAAAATAATAATAAACTAAAGCTATTTTAATCAGCATTTTGGAGGCAAATTAGGCCTTAAATATATAGATTCGAGAGTTGTTGGTAACAACTGTCATAACAGACAAATCCATACTAATAATAGCAATATCCCAATATTTACGAACAAGCTGCATGTGAGGAAATCTGCTTACACTTCTGGAATGTATATATATATATATATATATATATATATATATATATATATGTATGTATGTATGTATGTATATATGTATATATAAAGTTGACAGTCAAGAAGCTAAAATGTGAACATCAAGCATGGCAATGGCGCCGTTATTAATATGCAAAGTAACAATTTAATTGTTTTTCATGGGATCATGTGTCAAGGGTACATAAATATATAAAAATCAAGCTTTGGCAGCATATAATATATTGGCTGGAAAAACTTTGGCATATTTGGCGACACTTTAAGATGCCAACTTATATTACTTGTTATTATTAATTAACAGATTTCATATATAGTGGCAGAATTAACAATTCTTTTGAAAGAAGAAGTCGTTAGGTGGCCACATGCAAGCATTCTGGTTTAGTGCCTGAACTAAACATTTTGAGGAATATTATTGGGTTATGATATTAATTTAAACATGAAAGAAATCCCCAACATGTTTGCTGTATATATATATATATATATTTACATATAATACTGCTAGCATGTGGCAGGCAATAAGATGAACAACATTAGTACTTATTTATATGCATTATTGTTGTACACTTGTTACTCTATGAATTTAGAAGTATGTTTTATATTTCATGTTGCATTATCACCAAAGAATTAATTATATGAGTTGTGTCAACGATTCTTGGTATTTTATGGGGATCACGTACCGGAGAATACTAGATTTGAAAAGGATTCTCAACATTAATTTATCAAGAACAAAACATGTCCATTAATTTACCTCAGTTTCGAGATTGATCCTATATAGTGAGAGTATGTTTTTATTTTTTATTTTTTATTTTTTCCTCTATCGGGTGAATCTAGTGACGATGAAATTATTGTGTTTAGCACCTGAAAAGTTGCTACCAAGTTAAGACACAACTTATACAATCCAACCTGCAGGGCCCTATACGCTATAAAGGGTCAAAAATTTATTCTTTACATTTTCAAATAAAAAAATCATATATATGTCTTTGATGTTGGCAATTCGAATCGATGTGAAATCAGTATTTAAAAATCATTTTATCGCAAGAAGCAATAACAACATATTCTATACATCTTTTGTGTAACAAAACTGATCATATGCAAGAAATTTCTATATATTTTACTTCTGAGACTATCCGAATTTATTAGATTCTGTTAGTTACGTTTTGTCATACAAATTATTATTTTATTATTATTATTATTATTATTATTATTATTTGCTAAGAGTCATACAAATTATTTGATACTGATCACGATGTCCAGAAAATCAGAATGTGTGGCGGTAAGTGTCACCTAGTGTTGAAGCAACATTATAATCATTACAAAAAAACAAAAAAAGCAACATTTTAATCATCAAGCATCAAATTTATCAAAAGAATAATGTTAGAGTATTTTCAAGGGAGTTTTCTAAATTCTAACTAAAATGGTTAAAAAATTATTTATCTAATAACTTTTTAATGAGTCACTCTAAATATATTCTTTATTTTAGTTTATCATAAATTATTTTAATATTTTTTTAAGTTTAAAATATAAATAATTTTTTTTTACTTTTACTTTATGTCAAAATAAAGAATAAAAGAATAAAAAGAATAAATAGCTAACCCTTTCTTGCTAGCTATATTTAGCTAGTAAAAAATACTTCAGCCAAAATAGCTAACCATTTAACTAATGATTGGAGTGGAGAAAAAAAAAACTAAATCATTAGCTAATTTAGCTAAAAATATGAAATAGTTAACATGGTTGGAGTTGGTTTTAAGGACACTAACGAGTTGTCAGTTTTATATTAGTGGGTGTTTAAAACATTGTCACGTCAATTAATGAAAGAGATTGCATCTATTAATAAAAAGATGACAATTTATATGTCACATCAGTTAATACATAAAAGTTAAAATTTGAGTTGATATTCCTAACATTACTCTTATGAAATTTTTTTTTATTATTTAAATTGTTAAGGTCTATACTAATGGATAAATTCTACGTTTCTTCCAATTTTCCAAGCGTGCTGAAAATGGAGTTGGGCTTAGCTGAAGCCCAAATATGGACAACCTTACCAACCCAACCAAGTACTAGTAGTTCTCACTTCTCAAGACCCATGAGAATTCCAGGTGGGTCCATCGCAAACTCATGGAATTATAACATACCACGTGGCAGAACGACAGCAACAGAACCAATTGGCCCTTTGCTACACATACTGGGGGTCCCCACCTCTCAACTAGCCAATAGAAAGAGTGGTAATTCTTGTAAAAAAAAAAAAAAAAAAAAAGTTTCAATGACCATCCACTTCTCGGCCCTTAATTTCTCCAAACAACAAAATAACGGATAAGTCACAAGTGGATAAGCCACCAATGGCCTCCACGCCGCTTTTCTCCTCGCCGGCGACTACCTCCGCCGCCATATCCAACCAATCCTTCCCTCTCTCCTCCAACAGGTTATTTCCCTTCCCTAACATCCCCACCAGATCCTCTTCCATCCCCAAAAGACCACTCACCAAGCTCCACGTGTCCTCCCCAACCAACAAGCCCACCTCCTTCTCCACCGCCGGCACCTCCGAGAAACCCACCGAGGAAACCATCTTCTTTGACGGCGGGGCCCACTACGGCGACCTCACAGCCAATCTTCTTCTGGGCTTCACCCTTCTTTGGCTGCCGTTGACTTTGGCCGCCGTTTTGAGGGCTTTCTTCTTGAGGTACAGATTCACCAACCTGCGGGTGACGGTCATCTCGGGACTGACGGGTCAGGATAGGAGCGACTTCTCCTACAAGGTCATCAAGGACGTTCAGGTTGTGCCACGTTTCATCGGCGAGTGGGGTGACATTATCATTACCCTCAAGGACGACACCAAGGTGGATCTTAGGAGTGTTCCCAAGTTTAGGGAGATTGCTAAGTATTGCCTCTCCATGGCTGAAAAGCCCATGGTTCTCAAGGAGAGTGGGCCCAAAGGGTTTTAGAGATTATCAATGATCATATATAATAGTTTTTCTTTTGTAAAGGTATGCAATTATATTTTGTTTGTTGATCTAATTTTTGTATACCGCGATCATTATAACCTTTTTTTTTTTTTTTTTTTTTTTTTTTTTTTTTTCATTGTCCATTCCCATTATTACATTGAAAATCGAATGGTAATTCGTTCATACTTGTCTTGGCTTGATCAAATTTTGTCTCGAGTTATTGTTGGCTTTTTAGTTAGAATGTTGGGTTTTCTCTTATTCCATTGTTGAAATGTTTGAAAATCAATGAAACGCATAATGTGTATCGAAGAATGGTAACTTGTTCATACTTATGTCTAATTTCTGTTTAATGAAGTGTCAATTTTGTATCTTAATGAAGCTTACATTTCTGTTTAGAATTATAGGAAATAACAGATGTATAGCAACAGATGTATAGAGGATAAAAGTACGAGCAGACATTCTATAATTTGAGAATTTGCGTGGTCAATCTAAAGGCAAAAGTACATCTAGTCATGCCTACTATTGTCTGTTAGCAAATAACACGACCACGCGACACACGTAACGGGTTGTGACTTTGCGTTCTAAAGTCAAAATTTTTCCAGCTGAGGAAACCCTTCAGATTAGATGGTGTTTTCCTTTTGAAAGAGGAAAAACGACATGAACATCGAAAAACGACAAAATATTAAAACTGGTGTCGGTAAAAACGACGTCAACTTTTAAATGACCACACCTTAGCATAGCATTAAAAACAAAAATGGTATTCTCCTTTTCAAATAGAAAAACGGACGTGAACATGAGTCAGCGACAGAAACATGCACAACGACAATAAACTGAAAAAACTACAAAGCCAGAAAACGGCAATAACTTGAACAAAAAAATGACTTCAACATTTCAAATAACAGTATACCCGAAATAGGCATGAATAACAGAAAATTGATTTTTTCAATATTGAAACATGATATGCACATAAATTAACGAGAAAAAGATGGTAAACGACAACAACAAGAGAATGACAACAATTATAAACTGAAAAAGCTACAAAGCCAGAAAACGGCATTAACTTGAACAAAAAAATGACATCAACAATTCAAATAACAGTATACCCGAAATAGGGATAAATAACAAAAAATTGATTTTTTTTCAATATTGAAAAATGACATGCACATGAATAAACGAGAAAAAGATGGGAAACGACAACAACAAGAGAATGACAACAATTTGGAAAACGACATAAATCTTGTCAAGATATTAACGCACCCGAAATAGGCATAAAATACAGAAAATGCCAAAATGGTGTTTTCCTTTACAAATAGGAAAAACGATATGCATATGAATAAACGACAGAAAAATGGAAAACTTAACGATTTGGAAAACGACAGAAACCTTTCAAAAATTTAAAATACAATAACCCAAAAAAAAAGTCATTGAACAACGACAAATGTGATGGATGACAATATTAGGAAAAACTCCTTGAACTCAACGATAACAATAAACGGTATACAAACGACACTACCCGAAAAAACGAAATTTTTTGACAAAAAACCATCAATATTGAAAAGTCGGCAAAGATTTGAAAAAAGAAAAAAAAAAAAAAAAAAAACGACGATATCATAAGAAACGACATAAGCTGAAGAAAAAAATGAAGAAGGATACGTGATACGTGAACATCAAAGTTAACGTATCATTAGTTACTAAACATAAATCAGCATTAAACGACAATTAAAGGAGAAACGACATGAGATTAAAACGAAAACAATGACGAAAGCCGAAATAAGTTTAGAGCTGCATTTAAGAAAAACGACAATGACCTCATAAAAGGACATTAACTTGAGAACAATAACAAACAAAACGACAATTATTACAAGAACAGATTGTATGCCTTTTTTTTAATCTCCTCATATACTTCATATATAGTTCATGCCCATTATCTTTTAAAATTATATGGCTGTTTCTTTTGCTCGAGATTTTTTTTTTTGGCTGAAGAAATTGTAAGGTTATTTGTTTATACCTGTTGTAAACTGAACCTTTTTTCTTTCTTTCTTTCTTTTTTTTCCTTTTTTTTTTTTTTTTTTTTTTGTGTGTGTAGGATGAGATACGCACACACAATTTGAAACTGTTGTCTTCCAAAGTTGAAGTCTTGAGTTTCAATGAAGGAAATCTTAGATGGACTTTTCATTTTTCTAGAAGAGAAAACGACACAAGATCCATGGAAACTCGGAAAAGAAATGACACTGAAGAAAGTATCATTAAATATAAACGACAATAATTAGTTACCAACAATCTCAGTTTCCAATGAAGGAAAATTTTTGTGGTCTTTCATTACTATGCCATAACTTTTGTTTTAATCTCGTTGTAAGCACTTTCTTCATAGTTCATGTCCACTATCTTTGAAAATTGTATGGTTATTTGTTTATACCAGTTGTAGACTGATCAATTCATTTTTTTTTATTGTCAGATCAAATACGCACACACTGACTCACTCACAGGTTGTGATTGTTGTGTTCCAAAGTCGAAATCTTGATCCAAATCTTACATCGTCTTTTAGAAGATAAAATACGACACAAAAACTATACAACCTCAAAGAAACAGAATAAAAAACGACAACAACAATAAAACGCCAATAACCTAAAAATAGTCATTAAATACAAGCGACAAAAATATTAACCAACAACAATATCATGTAAAACACGACAATAACCTCGAAAACGACAAAAAATGGAAACGACAACAACATAAAAGGCATCAACTCTGAAAATAACAGTACAAAAAACGACGATGACCTTTATCCTTAACAAACAACAACGCGTGGTAAAACGATAAATGGTAACAACAATGCGGGAAACGGTAATAAATTTTGAAAACGACATCATACGAAAACATACACATAAGGCGCATTTGTCAAACCGTAAAGAAATATGACAGGAAAAGTAATAGGATTGGAAATGAAAGTAATAAGATTAAAGGTTATTTATTTTCTTTCAAGTGTTTACGTGACTATTAGATATTATAATGAGAAATAATCACATTTCATTTCTTATGTTTACAAAAATTAGGAATAATATGTTATGAATGTAATTACTAAAATATCCTTTTACATAATTAGATAATCATTGACTATATAGTAATTCACTAAGAATAGATAAGTAAATTTAACATTCATTTTCTTTAAGAAGAAATCAATACTAAAGGAAAGGGATGCAGGGATTTGCATTCCCTTTCTCATTTTTTATATTGTGTGGGGCCCACTAAATTTTTATTACTGATTTTTATAAGTAAATACATTATTAGATAAGAAAGAGAATCACTTCTTGCTTTTTTTTTTATTAAAAATAAACATGCCCATAGAATAAAAGGTAAAAATAAACCCTTTACAAAGTTTGGGAGCATTTGTGAAATTGCATAGTTAAAATATTTTGAACACTTTTAGTCTTTAGATAGTTCATAAAATAAAATAGACCATCTCCAAAGTTTGAGAGCATGTTGCATTAGGATACATATAAGTTCAGGGCATTTATGAAACTAATCAATATAATTGTTGTTGGACAAATATAACGTGTCCCTTCAAATACGTAAATGATGTTTTATGACCATATTCAAATGACAATATATATTTTGTATTAAAAAGTACAAAAATAACATACTTAATGTCGTTATTCTATTTTGCACTCCAATACATGATATTATTTTAATTATATTGTCTTATTGTCATCATTATTAAATGTTGAAACTTGTAAAAATAAAATTTCAATTTTCATAAAATTTGACAATGACAATATTGTAACGATCAAATAAAAAAGTAAATATATCAACTAATATAATCACATACTAAAATTATTTGGTGTTTGAATTTGACACTAAAAATAATATATATATATATATATCAAATTTAACACAAAATTAACACTACATTAAATAATTATTTTTCTACCCAAGTGATGAAATTTAACATACCACCTACTCTGGCATTGCCCTAAAATGCTTCAAAAAAGACGACAACATCATTGAAAAACGACATCATCTGAAAAGGGAATAAACACGACAGCAGAGTCAAAAGTCTGTACTTCCACCTGCTTGCTTCATCCATTCCCTTTATCTTTTTCTGTTTTTTTCTTTTTTCTTTTCTTTTTAAAAAAAAAAAAAAAACTTTCAACTATATAAAAATATTGGGTATTTCCACCTCTTTGCTTCATCTTGAGAAAAGGTACCACTACACCCTGTAACGACATGTGACATGTGCCATGCGGTACTAACCAAGCGACTATCGAACACTATTCACCAAAAAGAAAAAAAAAAACGACAATCTAACATTTTAAGCAATAAATGACATCAAGACCAACGATGTAGCGCTAAGAAACTACACGGCATTTTTTACATAGTAGAATTAAGGATGAGCAGTATTGAATCCCCGCTATATATATATATATATATATATATATATATATATGAAAAACTCGTACCCATCACAAATATATGCAAGCAAGTATTAAAAAAAATAATTTACACCGTTTGTCTCTTAATTATTTAGTAAGTGACATTTTAATTCATTTTTAAAATTTTTTTTAACAAAATGATTCACAACCTTTTAAAATATTGGTAATTAAACTCTCTCCGTCTAAATCTGTTAAGATTTAAACAGAATGTACCATAATTATCTAGTATTTTAGGGTATTTTTGTAATTAGATACTGTTTATAATTTAACAAAAAACAAAATTAAAAAAATCCTCTTTAAAAAAATATGCAAGTGCATATCTCAAGAAAAAAAAAAAAAAAGAAAAGAAGAAAAAAAAAACCTAAAATCAAATAGAGAAGAGCCTACGGGAGGGAAGGGGAGGGGAAGAAGATATGGCGGAGGGTTTGCTATGGGCGACGAAGATAAAGGAATGGGTGCTCAAGAGAGATTACCGGAGAGGGAAATTTTTTACAAGTTTAGAGAGAGATCAATGGGGGTGGATTTGATGGTGAAGTCAACAATGATGAGAGACGGCGAGAGAAGGGTTTTGTCACCAACTGTGTGCCTCACGGTGCCGAAGAAGAAGCCAATGGTTTTCGAACAGAGTCGCCGTCGAATGGGGAGGAGTTTGTTTGAAGAGGCTTC